GGGGGGGGGGAGAAAGCTGGGGGGAGAAAATTTAAAACACAAAATCTTATGGAAGTGAATGTTGAAAACTAAAAATAAATTAATTAATTATTAAAAAAAAGAAATGATGAACAGATGGACTTCAGAAAAATCTGAAAAGACTTGTATGGACTGATGCTGAGTGAAGTGAGCAGAACCAGACCAATGCACATAGTAATAACCACATTGTGTAATGACTAACTTTGATAGACTTAGCTCTTCTCAGCAATACAAGGATCTAAGACATCTCCAAAAGCCTCATGATGGAAAATCCTATCCACATCCAGAGAAAGAGCTATGGAGTCTGAATGCAGATCGAAGCATACCATTTGATCTTTTTTTTTCCCTTCTGTTTTGTTTTGTCTCTTCTTTCTCATGGTTCCTCCTATTGGTTCTAACTCTTCTTTACAATGTGACTAATATGAAAATATGTTTACTGGAAATGTATATGTAGAGCCTGTATCAGATTGCATGCCATCTTGGGGAAGGAGAAGAAAGAGGAGGAAAAAAATTTAAAACTCAAAAGTTTATGGAAGTGAATGCTGAAAACTCAAAACAAATAAATTAACTTAAAACAATAAAAACAGACAAACAAAAAAAAAGAATTCCAAAGTCTTTCAAGGTTATTTTTCTTTATAATGTCATTATTGTATACATTGTTCTCATTCTGCTTACTTTGCCTTACTTCATAAAGGGTCTTTCCAGTTTCTTCTGAAATTGTCCATTTTGCCAATTCTTCTGGCATAATAATATCCTATTACATTCATCTACTCCAATTTGGTTAGCTATTTTCTAAAAGGGGGCATATCCTTGGTGACCAATTTCTGGCTACCCCAAAAAGAGGATATAAATGATAATTTTATTGTCAATTATTTTTTTACCTTATATATTATAAATATTTTATGTAATTAATATAATATAATAATTGTGTATAACTAATATTTTAAAATGTACCTTGTGCATTATTAATATTTTTGTACCGATAGATCATTTTATTTTTTCCTTGATTTCTTTGAAGTAGAAGCCTAGTAAATGGTACACTTGGGTCAAAGGGTATTTGTTTTCAGTTCTCTGCTTTCATTATTTCTTATCTTACCATTTCCCAAAGTTCAGTATCTCCTTGCAGAAAAGCACCATCAACCCAAGAGCACATTATTCTCTTGAACTATGCATCTCCCAAATCCAAATTTTACACTGACTTTACCCTTACTGGTAACTTGGCAATTGGGAATACACCAATAAACTAAGTCATACAAGGATGTGTTGAAGGAATTAAAGATGTTTGGAAAGAAAAGACTTGGGAGGACAAGCTAATTGTATTCACACAGAAGGTTGTGACTGGTTCTGCATAGTACCAGAGGGCAGAAAGCCTGGAAGTTGAAGAAAGAATTTTTACTCCATGTAAAGAAAATTTTCTTAATCATTAGAACTATTTAGGGGCAGCTGGGTGGCACAGTGGATAGAGTACTGGGCCTGGAGCCAGGAAAACTCACCTTACTGAGTTCAAATCTGGCCTCAGATACTTACTAGCTGTATGATCCTGGGCAAGTCACTTAACCCTCTTTGCCTCAGTTTCCTCATCTGTAAAATGAGCTAGAGAAGGAAATGGCAAACCATTCCAGTATCTTTGCCAAGAAAACCCCAAATGGGGTCATAAAAAGTTGGACATGACTGAAATGACTGAACAGCAAACAACAAGAACTATTTGGAAGTGGAAAAGGCTATATCAGAAGATAGTAGATTCTAAATTGCTGGAGGATGACTTGTTGAAAATTCTGTAGTGAGGATTCTTGTTTAAGTATGGATTGGATCAGATGGCCTCTAATATCCCCTAGCTTGATTTCTCTTTAAGGTTCTAGAAGAGACAAGATGGTACAAACCATAGTTAGCAATTTTTTCTTTTTTCTTCTTTTAGACTTAAATACTAAAACTTAAATACACAATAAGAAAGGAAATATGATAAACTTAAATATTGAAACTTAAATACAAACTAAGAAAAAAAAGCATTGCCATGTGCACGGCATAACAAGAGAGGATTCCAAATACACAGCAATAAATTTCCATTTCAAGAAAGCCTATATAATAAAAACTACATATAGCTAGCAATTTTGGTGCCTGGAGCGAGCAACCTGAAACAGTACCTCCTAGAGCAAGTAGAACTAAGCATGTTTTTAAATTGGCTTTCACATTTACAATCTCAAAATATCGGGAGAGGTAATTAAGTACGCCTCACACCAGGAGTAGGAAGAGAGACCCTAGGCTACCAGCCACCTATAAGAAGATTGCCCCACTCCCACCCCCACCCCAGACAGTCCCAGAGGGAGTGGAGAGCCAGTGATCCATTGTTGCTGATATGAGACAGGGCTGGGCTGTGGGAGGAGATCACCTGGCGTGTAGGCACTAGGGGTGAGGCAGTATGCCATCTGATAGCTTCCTACTTTTATTATACATGTTAACTAATTAGCTGGGGAACTGTGTGGATGTTCAGCTTGGAAAAGAATGAAAAGGGGAAGGAATTAAACAATTTTATTGTTCAATTGTTTCCGTCATGTCTGACTTTTTGTGACAAATCGTAAACAGAGTAAACATTTAACCATGATTTGAATGAAACTATCCTATAATGAATCTGTCAGAAAGTGACAAGACCACTTCTCAGCTGGGGACACGAGATACTTTTCCTAATCTCTGTTTTCCTCAAACTAGTTTGGGCTACTGGATCATGGGGAGTGGGATAGGGATGCCAGAATCCATCAGCTGGGAATTTATTCCCTGGGTCCTACCCATGCTGATGTCAGCCCTCCAGCAACTCCACTTTGGCCAAGAAGAGAAGGAGGACCACCTGTAAAATAGCTAGCAATAAGCAATAGATAGTGTGTGTGTGTGTGTGTGTGTGTGTGTGTGTGTGTGTGTGTATATCTTTTATATCCAGGTCCAGCACTCTATCCACTCTGCCCCCTAGTTGCAGTTGATTGGTTTGGACTAATTGATATCCAAGACCCCTCTTAGCTCTGGTATTCTTTGAACTTTCACATTCTCTTTTTCCTAGCAGTTATAAAAGCACTCTAGGTTATTTGAGCCCAGTGAAGAGACCAAAATCAACCTCTACTTAATTGTTGTCCTTCATCTATCTGTTGAGGTTTAGAGGTGCTGGGACTCCAAAATCACAATACGTGGGTCCTGCCCAAAAGAATTCAAGCCAAGCCTTCTTTCAGTCAAAGACAAGGTTTATTAGAACATCTGTCATATTGGGCAGACTCTTAAGGAATCTGAACATTAGTGAGCTATTAGCTAGATTGTAAGAATCTGAGCACCTTAATGGAGACAAGATGGACCTTATATACAGAAAGACTATGGGAGGGATCTAGGAGTGGCCAAGTAGTTTGCAGGGACTGTTAGGTAATAGACCGCTAGGGAGCTGGACCACATGGCCAAGGGAGATGATTGGGGGCCATAGGAAGGTAAGACTATGGAGGACTAGACTAGGTTAAGGGTAACAGAGAATTGGTAGCCACAATGAAAGGCCAGTTGATAGGATTATAGCCTCAGGCAAATGCCAGAGATTTGGCCGTGTGGGAAAGTACAGGGTTTTTCCTTTTTGGGGTCCAGATCCCATCCTCATCATATCCATGATGTGCCTGTCTGGTGGGGGCCTACTCCGTGAGTTACCTGGGCAGCAAGTGAACCATCATGTCCTCAGGCAAAGGCCTGCATATTGCATACTCCTATCTGCAGCAGAGAGCAAGAATAACCCCCCCCACCACTACCAGCCCCTTCAGTAACTTCTCTGTTCCTTTTTTTTTTGCCTTGTATCTGGAGATAGAATCCAGGGATCTGGGAAGCATGGCTGAATGCTCACTATGTCGGGGAAATCTACTCTAATTTCTTACCAGCTCTGGTATATGTGTTTGTATATGTATGCTTAGTGTAGATCAGGCCTTCCTAACTTTTTTGTCTTGGAGTCCTTTGGATCCTTTCCTTGAATAAGGTTTTAAATGAATAAAATAAAATACATAGGGATTACAAATCAAATCAATTATATTGAAACAAAGATGTAATATTTTTTCCATCTAAGTTCCTGGACCCTCTGGAATCTATTTCAGGTTAAGAACCTCTGGTATAGATATAACCAACACATGATACATATAGCATGTTCTAAAAATCTTAGTACAGTTTTATTAAAGTTTTAAAAGTATACCAAGACTTTTGGGATGATGAGGATGGGATCTGTACCCCAAAAAGGAAAAACCCTGGACTTTCCCATATGGCCAAATCTCTGGTGTTCACCTGAGGCTATCATCCTATCAACTGGCCTTTCATTATCACCCAAACTGACTTACCTTCCTATGGCCCCTGGTTACTTCCCACCCTTGACTCATCTATCTAGACTCCATTCTCCCTTGGCCGTGTAGTCTAGGTCCCAGGAGTTCTGTTCACCCCAGCTTACTGGCCACTCCCATTCAGATCTTCCTTAGACCCTCTCCTTCAGTCACCCCAAACTACTTGGCCACTCCTAGATCCCTCCCACAGTCTTTTTGTATATAAAGTCCATCTTGTCTCCATTAAAGTGCTCAGATTCTTATAATCTAGCCACTGCTCAGATTGCTTAAGAGTCTGGCCAATGTGATGGATGTTCTAATGTACCTTGTCTTTGGCTAAAAGAAGGCTTGGGTTGAATTCATTTGGGCAGGATCTGTGTGTCGTGATTTTGGGGTTCCAGTACATCTAAACCCCAACATTTTGGTGGCCCAGATCCCATCCTCATTTATGGGACACCCTTTATTTTACATGTACCATACAAGCAAATGTATAACTACTGCTTCAAGGTGTCCCAAAATTCTTGGTGTGTTTTAAGCTACTAAAACTTTTTTCTTTTTTTTTTTTAGTGAGGGCATAAAGCCAGATTTGAACTCAGGTCCTACAGATCCTAGGGCAGGTACTCTATCCACTGTATCACCTAGCTA